TTAATTTAAACAAAAATCTAACATTCTAGCCATAAATACACACCATGAACAGATAGTTTGCTGGTGTTTCTGCTATGAAATCAAACCGTACACCAAATCCCAGGCCCTCTCTTACTACGTGCAACCCCTTGTGCAGTTGTTTGACGTTTGGGGATACTTGTTTTACAAAGGAGCTAATATTGGCAGTGCCTTCTACGGTATTGGGAAATCAAACTGAAGTTATCTCTAAAGTATTTATTTAGTAATGTTAACTGTATGCCACCGTGCCTGTGTTTTGTTTATTTCTTTGTTTGTGCTACTGTGGATGCTGGGCAGGTTTTCATGATTAGAGGGAAAGTTCTTTACTGACTAAGTAAGCTCTGTCCAGCTTTAGTGTGGTAATGAAAGCATCGAATTTAGGTTCCCCAGCTACCAGACAATGAAATGAGTTTGTAAGAGAAAATAAAGTTGCTTTGGAGTCAGTCTGGTGGCTAGAATACCTTATGTTCTCAGTAAAGACAAGAGTTTTTCTTATTACCTTCTCTCTTCTCATTTAGGATGTCTGAACAGGGTCAAACAATCATCTTCTCCACTCATCTGCCTTCATATTCCATCTTCAGGTTGTTTGGCAGCCTTACCTTACTTGCCTTGGGAAAACTCATGTTCCATGGGTCTGCACCAGAGGCATTGCAGTACTTCGAATGAAACGGTGTGGTTGACATCTTTTGTAACAACCCCTTCATTCTCAGGATCCCAGAAGAGAACAGAGGGGGCAATAGACTTGTGGTGTGGTCTCCATTCAGATCAGGGATTAAAAAGCACATACTTAAAGGCAATTTATATCAAATTGTAGAGAAATTCAAAGCAATTCCAATAAAATAAGGAACAAGACATGGTTGTTCATTCTCTCCAGATTGATTCAATATAGTACTTGAAGTTTTAACTAGAGCAATAAGACAACTGAAGGAGATCAAGGGGATACAAATTGGAAAGGAAGAGATCAGCATATCGTTATTTGTAGATAATATAATGATATACATAAGTGACCCAGAAAATTCTGCCAGGGAACTCCTACAGCTGATGAATAGCTTCAGCAAAGTAGCTGGATACAAGATTAACTCAAAACAATCAGTAGCTCTCCTATGTAGGGCTGAGAAAGAAATCAGGGAAATATCACCCTTCACAATGGCCTCAAATAATATTATCTTGGTATAACTCTAAACAAGTTACTGAAAAGACATGTATGACAGAAAACTCAAGTCTTTGAAGAAAAAAACTGAGGAAGATACCAGATGGAAAGATCTCCCATGCTCATGGATTGATAGGATTAACATAGTAAAAATGGCCATTCTACCAAAAGCAATCTACAGATTCAACACAATCCCTATCAAAATTCTAACATAACTCTTTACAGACTTTGAAAAGGCAATGTTCAACTTCATATGGAAAAACAAAAAACCCAGGAGGGCTAACATAATCCTAGTAATAAAAGAACTTCCAGAGATATCACCATCCCTGATTTCAAGCTGTACTACAGGGATATTATAATTAAAAACAAAAAAAACCAAGGTATTGGCATAAAAACAGACAAGTTGATCAAAAGAATTGAATAGAAGACCCAGACAACTCCACACGCCTATGGACACCAGAGTTTTGATAAACAAGCTAGAAATATATGCTGGAAAAAGACAGCATCTTTAACAAATGATGCTGATCAAACTGGATATCTTCATGTAGAAGAATGCAAATAGATCCATATATACCATCCTGCACAAAGCTCAAGTCTAAGTACAATCAAAGACCTCAACATAAAACCAGATACACTGAACCTGAAAAAGAGATAGCCTTGAATGCTTTGGGCACTAGAGACAACTTCCTTAACAAAACGCTGATAGCACAGGCACTAACATAAAAAAAAATTAACAAATGGGACCTCATGAAACTGAAGCTTATGTAAGGCAAAGGACACTATTAATAGAACAAAACAACAGCCTACAGAATTGGAAAGGATTTTTACCAACTCTACAACTGACAAAGGACTAATATACAAAATGCATAAAGAACTCAAGAAACTAAACATCAAAAAACCAAATAATCTAATTTAAAAATGGGATACGGATGTAAACAGAGAATTCTCAATAGAGGAATCTCAATTGGCAAAGAAACACTTAAATATTCAACCTCCTTAGCCATCAGGGGAATGCAAATCAAAACAACTTTGAGATTCCATCTTACACCTGTCAGAATAGCTAACATCAAAAACACAAGTGACAGCTCATGCTGACAAGAATGTAGAGAAAGGGGAACACTCCTCCATTGCTGGTGGGAGTACAAACTTGCACAGCTACTTTGAAAGTCAGTGTGGTGGTTTCTCAGGAAACTGTGAATCCATCTACCACAAGACCCAGCTATACCATTCTCAGGCATATACCTAAGGACACTCCATCCTACCACAAGAACACTTGCTCAACTATGCTCACTGCAACTTTATTCATAATAGCCAGAAACTGAAAACAGCCTAAACATCTCTCAACTGAATAATGGATAAAGACAATGAGGTACATTTACACAATTACTCAGAAGTTAAAAACAGTAATATCGTGAATTTTTCAGGCAAATGCCATTCAACTAGATAATTCATCTTGAGGTAACCCAGAACTAGTTATGTATTCACTTGTAAGCGGCTATTAGCTGTTAAGTAAATGATAACCAAGCTACGATTCATGGACATAGAATAGGCAAAGAGGAGAGCTCTAGAGGGAAAACAGAAACATGTGGGGACAGGAGTGGGAAGGATCAGGTGTGTGTGTTGGGGGGATAAGGGATGGAGGGAGCGTGCAGGGAGGGATGGCTGAAATTGAGGCCATATGGAAGACAGTGGGGAAACCTAGTGCAGTGGAAACTTACTGGAACCTAGTGAGGGTTCCTAGTAATGGAGGATATGGAGTCTGAACTGGCCATCTCTTGTAGCCAGGCAAGGCATCCAGCAGCAAGTCTGTTGCATTCAAGTTGATGGCCTATGGGGTTTCCATGACATCCCCAAACAACCCAAGCTGATGCTAGGACTGAGGTTGCTCTCCACAAACTAACAGTGGGTCCCCATTTCTGAGGACAACATCCATGCAATCCACTGATGTAGAGAGGTTGAGTTGGTGCCTGCATGGAGCCTTCACCCCTATATTCTAGGGTTGGTTTTTTTTTTCCTGCTTGTTTTTTTGTTTGTTTTGTTTGTGTGTGTGTGTGGGTGTGTGTGTGTGTGTGTGTGTGTGTGTGTGTGTGTGTGTTTAGGCAGGGAAGGTACTCTGCAGGTTACCAAGAGAGAAACATGGACACCAACCCAGCCACAAGACCCAAGACCTTCAACCTGGTCTGCCTGCAAGATGTGCTGGGGCAATGGAAGTGGCCAACCAATGTCTGATTTAACTTGAGGCCCACTCCACCAGAGGGAGCCCCATGCCTGACACAGGCTGGATCGCTAGGCACTGGAGTTTGGGGTAGGCACCTAGGATAGAACCAAACAGGACTGGTAAAAAATAAATAAATAAATGAATTACTGAAATGATTCCCAATGATATACTGCTATATTATAGATTGACGTCTTGTTCACTTGCCATCAGAGGCTTCCTCCAGCGGTAGGCACCTAGGATAGAACCAAACAGGACTGGTAAAAAATAAATAAATGAATTACTGAAAAGATTCCCAATGATATACTGCTATATTCATAGATTGACGTCTTGTTCACTTGCCATCAGAGGCTTCCTCCAGTAGCAGATAGGAGGAATACAGAGACCCACAGACAGATACATGGAAAGAATCTAAATTGGAGGTCTTCTTAGGGTCCCTTCCCTTGGAGCTCCAGAAATCCCACAGAAGAGGGCCAGAAATATTGTAGCAGTCAGAGGGGAGGGAGGACACCAGGAGAACATGACCCACAGAATCAAGTAAGCAGGGCTAACATAGGCTCACAGGGACTAGAAGCAGCTGTGTTAAGTACCTATGACCCACCCTCACTCCCTCTGCTGTGCAAAGTGCAGCTCCAGTGTTCTCTACACCATACACACCAGAGGAGAGGCGAGGTGTGGCTTCATCTTCTGAACTTAGGGAGAGAAAGTGGGATCTTCAGAAAAGGAGGATTCATGTAAACCATGTGAGTTGACAAGATCCAATGGCTAGTAAATATTGTCAGGATCAGAGCCTTATCACTGTGCTCTCACTATGCCTCTTCCAGCTTCTCCCTGTCTTTGGGTGGGTTCTATGCAGTGCAAGTGCACAGAACACCATCTACACTGTATTCTAAGAGGCTTAACCCTCAATACTACACCTGAAGGATAACGTGGCATTGTGCCCAAATCTCTTGTGCCACACACCTCAGTCTGTGTCAACCAATCTTCAAGTACTGCTCCTTTCTATTTTATTTTTTTGAGCCAGTTTCATGTGGCCAGGCTACCCCTAAACTCTTGGTCCTCCTGCCTCTGCCACCCAGGTGCTGGGACTGCATCATATGCCATCATGTCTAGCTACAGCCCTTTTCTTAATCACAAGTCACCAAGGGCTGCTGTTGACTGCATAAAATAGCTACCATTCTGCCCAGACTAGTTTTGCAACTCACTTCCTCAAACAGGGTTGTCTCAATTATGTGTTCTAATGTTTCCCAGCATAGCAAAAAAGGGACATGTAGTTCTAATGGCCTACAGTGTTAGCAGCTTGACAGCACACCCTCTGTACACCTTCCCTTTCCAGTCTTCCTCAAGCACACTATTATCCACTCTCCCAAAAGAACTACCTGCCCTTCAACTGTCTTAGGTTACAGCTCTAAGGGATCTGAAGGGTAAGATGTGGTGATATTCTGATACCGGCATGACAGCCCTGTGCACTTGCTAAGTGGTCACAAGCACTCTCTGTCAAAGGCTTGTTTCATTGTGTGTCCCCCACATACAGACATTTTCATAGTCTAGGCTATTACTAATATTTGCTTATAAAAGGAAAACTTACTCATTGCTTTTTGTAAGGAAACAGACACATTTTCTTTTTATGTATCTTGTCTTTATTCAAGTGAACAGTATCACACACTTCGGAAACACTTAATTGTGGAGATTTGAGCAATTCACTTCCTAATTACACTAACAGAGGGTAAGGTAGAGGAAAGGAATTAAACTTCATTATTTGATTCAAGAAGAAAAAACCCAAACAAACCAAAAAACAAATGGGACTCATGGGTAAAAGAAAAAGAATTCTGTACAATCTTGTAAGTATAATAAAACAAGGTAAATAATATGTATCATAAATACTCTCTGAGGACTGCAGTGGATATGTGGCGCATGGCCAGTATACATGGATACTGCATAACAGCTGCACTTCAAGTTGAAACTTGTTTTGATGTAACAACAGGGTATACATGATAAATATATAAACTCAATATGCCTGGAACACAAACTTTACCCCCTAGGAAGAAAGAACTTGTTCAGCATACCCTAAGAAGAAATGGAGATGAAATATATGAAAAACCTGCTAAAATCAGTATGTTTCATTCATTAACTGACTAGTCAGCTCCCGTTTTTTACTGGAGACATGACTGACATAGCCTAGTAATTAAGTGAACACAAGAATCTAAGACACAGCACTAAAAATAGGGTTTCTGTACTGGTTCTACAGCTGAGAGTATATCACCAGCCCTGAATTGTATCTTTCTTATCCCTTCAGACCACAAAGGATCATACTACATAGTATGTTTGGAAAATAAAAACCTCTTATTGAGAATAACTTTTTATACACAGTTAGTGAAAGCCTCCCTCTTCTAATGAAAAAACTACTAATACAAACTCTTCCTGATGCTTTCTGATAATAGATGGGACTTGCAGCAAAAAAGTATTTTAATTAAAGCAAACTTTATTTGTATTATAAATTCTATTCTGACATACTGGACCAAGAATATCTGAGACCGTGTCTCTGAAATACTATGAAATGACTTCTGCTTTATGATTCACAATGAATTTCAAAACAAAGTATCGTTCTTAAACATTTGCTTAACTGAACATTTTACTGCACACTCAAGTAACATTTAATAAGCTGGTTCTACTAAGTAGCTCTTAATATTGACTTCCAAATAAATTGAGACATGAGAAAGACAAGAAAATATTCACACTAAACAAACTGTTATAAGTCAAACTTAGTGTGAATTTAAGGAACCATATAAGTCTCCTTTGTTGTAGTTAAAGACACTATTTGGAGACTTTCTGGGGCCATTTTATAGAGCTAAACAATACAAAAACCAAGAAATACAGCTAGTCCCACGGACATTAGCTATGAGAAAGTAAGCAAAATAAAAAAAAGAAAAGAAAAAAGAAAAAAAGAAAGTGCAGTACTAACATTTTAACTATTCATACAAACTCCAGTACAATGGGGACACGGCCACGCCATGGTTTATCAGTATGGTTTAAAGTTTACCAGTAGAGGGCGCCTGAAATGAACAACCACATAGCTGCAATAGCATGGAAAGAAATCCCTCCTTTCCTTCCACACACTGGCTAAAAATGGCAATGCTGAAGTGTACTCGGGAGTCCTTTACAGTTCCAAGCTTTAAAAAGCTACTTCATTGTCACCTGAAAAGAATTAGGCAGGGCAGCAATTGGGCGTACTTCTCAACATACCTTCCAGTTTTTTTTTTTTGTTTTTTTTTTTGCAGGGCAGCAATTGGGCGTACTTCTCAACATACCTTCCAGTTTTTTTTTTGGTTTTTTTTTTTCTTGGTTCAATATTTCAAAGTCTAGATCTGTCAAGAGAGGAAAAGTCTTTTTTTTTTTCTTTTTTTTTTTTAAATCTTCTTTAATCCATGGGTAAAGTTTATGGAAAATAAAATCAAGTGCAGAAGATTAATAATTAGTTATAAAGACCAGCATCATATGATTATCAGGCATAAATAATGTACATGTTATGGCAAATCCACTCAGAACCACACAGTGGATTATCCCATGTGGATCCTGGCATCCCCATTTCTGCCTCCAACTTCTAGGTCCACTGTAGACTGGAAGGAGGTGAAGGATTTCTGGGGTAAGGCTGACTGCTGAGTCTCACTGTCATCTGAAGATGCTGACCTGATGGGGACACTGCATCACCAGTCCCAGCACTCCAACTGTTTGTGCACTGCACCAGCAATTCATCTGTTCCATGCGACCTCACTGTCACCACCTGTCGGCCATTATTAAAAATAGAAGAAAAACAAGAACATGTCACCAGCCAGACGATGCATACTCTGCTACATAGAAGTTGCCTTAGGAAATGTGAGACCAAATAATGTTCACAGTTAGAAAGACTGGAGAGAAACAGCAATTCATAACAATCCTTGTAGTCAATGGAGTCCCAGCATGACAATCAAAGTGTGGGGAACGAATAGCCATGCTTTTACATCACAGTTGGTCTACAGTCACAGAGGGACTGCTTTTCTAAGTAAAGGTTACAGAATGTGATTACTATGATGTTTCATAGAATTAAGGGTTTCTTTTCAGAGATTAAAAAAATTGTGACAATGAAAATGAAAACACCATTGTGGGCTATCTGTAAAAACATTTTAAAACAAATTTTCTTTTATTGAAAATAGATTTTCTACCTAAAATAATTTTGATTACTATTTCCTCTCCCCAAATCTCCTCCCATCTGAATCTACACCCTTTAGGATAGTAATAAAGAAAACAAAGTCAGGCAAATGGGAACGAAATAAATACAAGAAAAAGAGCCAAAGAAAAAGCACAAGAAACACCCACCCCCACACCTCCACACACACATCTGTATACACAGGAATCCTGTAAAAACATACAACTGGAAGCCCAAATATATTCACAAAGAACCTATAAGATAAAGATAAATAAGGTATCCACCAGAGAAGACTACTTGGACACAGATTCAAGCCAAAAGGAAGTCTTTATTAACTTGCTAGAGACTACACTGGGTATTCAGAACCAGAGTACAGTCCTGAGCCTTTCACAGGGTGAGCTTTTACACACAAAAAAACTACACCCTGAGTTGACACACCCCAATTAGCCAGAAGCCAAGAAACAGAGTATATCTAGGAATTTCCCCAGAACTATGGACTTTAATGGATTAAGTCTTTGCTCTCCTTCTTGTAGGTGCTGCTGCCTACATGCTAGGTTCTAAGGTCTAAACAGTATTTCCATCATGGCATCAGTTGTGCTAAGGTCTGAGGCCCTGTAACATTACTGCTGGAAATGGGTCCTGCCCTTACTATTCCTCGGTATTACCACAGAAAACTGTCACTAGCAAATATGGGCAGTTTTCAATACCATGGCCACAGCATCTAGCAGTCTTCCATACCGAAGGTGTCTTCAGTTTGGCTAGCTCCACAATCTCCAGCTTTACGATCCACACCTGGGACTGGGACACCATGCTGCAGTGGGATGCTCCATGCCTCTGTCCATGCTCTCACCAGGCTGCAGGAAACCACCACTCAGAGGACCACACTGAGGGTAGGGTTTGCTGCTACACGGTCTTTTGAAAAACAAACAGTTATGTTTTCTGTTTAACAGTATGATCAGAAACAGTATCTAAGTGGCTTCAGCATTTAGAGAAAAACTCATGGTCTGGTTCATGGTCTGGTGGGAGAGAACTAAGGGCTAAATCTCCACCAGTGCACATGCTATCTAAAGCCTTTAAATTTGTATTTACATCCCTACAATCAGACGCCGCATTAAAAAAAAAAATTCCAAAGAAAACTTTTTATATGTGAAGTTTTTTTTGGCTACAAAGATATTCATTTGGAGTGCTAATTTTTAAAGAATGGTGACATTAAAAAAAAAAACACTACATAGGAAATTGCTTAAATATATTGTTTATCTACACAACAGGATTCTAAGGTGATACCAGAAATTATAAAGTAAGCAAATACTTAGGGAAACAGATTATGCTCTCAATGTATTTTAAGGAAACAAAGCATTATGAAATTATGTTCTCTCATCCCATTACTTTGTATAAAGATATTACACAAATGCCTTAAAAACATGAACTGAAGACTTCTTGAATACAGCATGAGATGTCTGTTGTCTTCCCATTGAAACAACAACTGTCCAAAGTTTTATTTTTTAAAAGAAATTGTATGTGTGTGCTGTGTAAATATGCCAGGTGTGACTGATTGCCTGTGTACATGTATGTGGTAGCCATAGGTCACAATGAAGTGTCTTCCTTTACTGCTGTCTGCCTTCTTCCCTGAGAAGATATCTCTCACTAACCCTGAGCTTATCTGGCTGGCCTGAGCGAGTCCTGGAATCTGCCCATTCCATCACACTGCCTGAACTGGGTTACAATGTGTGCACCATATGCCTAGCTTTTATTTTGTTGCTGGGCATCTGAACTCAGGTCCTCATGCCTGTTCATGCAGCCCTTAAAAGTATTTAAAAAAATAATTAATTTGTATTTTATGTACATTGGTGTTCTGCCTGCATGTGTGTCTGTGTGAAGGTGCAGGATCCCCTGGGACAGGAGTTACAGACAGTTGTGAGCTGCCAACTGGGTACAGAGAACTGAACCTAGGTCCTGTGGAAGAGCAGCCCATGCTCTTAACAATGCTGAGCCATCTTTCCACCCCCATGTAGTTTTTAGAACCCATTTTTGTAAAATTTTAGGAAAAAATATCAAAAACATAACAAATCAAATCAAAGCAAACCAAAGACGGGCAAACCCAGTTTAGCTCTTTCCCATCAAGTAAGACCTTAGCCTTCCTTCTAGGCCATCTCCATTCCTTTGTGTCAGCTGCCTTTCCCTAAAAACACTTTTTACCAGGGACCCACATTGGGCTGGGACTCAGGCAGGAGATGTTCACTATTCTAGTCTACAGAGTGAATTTCAGGACAGCTAGGGCTACACAGAGAAATCCTGTCTCGCAAAACAAAACAAAAAATTATTTTCTGAACTAAACATGATTTTTCCTACTTTCTTGATTTCTATTTGAAAGATGAATTACTATGCATGAGAGATAAAGAAGACAGTGATTTATAAATATGAACTTTAAATAAACTGAAGTGTAAAGGCCAAAAGAACAAAGGACAGAGGGGCAGAAAAATAATGGTGTCCTAAAACTCCATTAACTTCCTTAATGAACACAAAGTTCAGGTCCCAAAGATGATGTGTACTATACAGAAAACAAAACAAACTGTATTAAGTGTATTAAGCAACCAAGTAGTACTTCCTAAGGATAAAGTGGAAGGAAAGTATTGACATAGGAAAAAATCTTGCTGTTTGTATCAATCAACACCTTCCGGACTAATAGAATATTTTCAGATTACATGTAAATTTCACCTGGTAGAATCAACATATAAATTATTATTTAAGTGGTTCATGTAGCGATCAGGTCTATATTCTAGATAAAACAGTAAACAAATCTTCACAAAGTCTCCTTAGGTTTGTAGTTAAAAATTTCTTAAAAATGAAAATATTTCTGAAGGATGGCCAAAATTTTATGCATCTAAAGATTTGATATTCTCATATTCACTCAGGTGTTGCCAATGCCGGGTCTTAATGAAATCACTTTTATTCCCAACTTCTATCTAATACAGTGTTAATCAAGCAGTCTGTCCCCCTCCCACCAAGGTCCTATGAACCTAAAGCCATGTGATCTCCGTCTTCATTGCTAACTCTGTAAATGGCACAGAACATCTCATACCACTGCTGCTTTCCGTACATATAGAAACGCTGGAAAAAGACTAAGTATTCCTGTACCACTCTATCCTGAAATATTATAACTTCCTTTTTCTCATTAAATTATCTGAAATTGAAACTATGGAAATAATAGTCAACAGATACAAAAATATAAACTTATGGTCTTTGTTGTGACAGGATGAACCAGGACCAAATATTAAACTGAGCTTCCAAAGCTCACACCTGCAGTGCAGCAGGATGTTCCTGAGGGTAAAGTACTTGCTGCCAGTGTTGACAACTTGAGCTGTGGAACCAGAATCCACATAGTGCAAGGAGAGAACTGGCTCCTGCAAATTTGTTTTCTGACTTCCTTATTAGTGTACATGCTTGTGTGCACATACCCCCAATAAATAAAATAATAAATAATAAAAATAAAAGTTCTCACCTGCACTGAACATTAAGATGTTGGCCATTTCAACAGTGCTGGCTTTATCTATTTCATTACATCTCACTACTGAGAGTTGCTTTCTGTGTGTGAGAGACAAGTTCCCATGTATTCAAGGCTGACCTTGAATCTGCTATGTAAAGGAGGGAGGTAATCTCAAACTTCTAAGTCTCCTGTCTCCACTTGTTAGTACTGATAGTACAGGCATGCTCCATCATGCCTGGTTCATGAGGACCGATTTCCTAAGCGTCAGCATTCCCCATTTTCTTAACTTCTTTGATGGGGTAATGTTTGTGAACCATGCCATTATTCTTATAAACAATCATTCACAACACAAGGTGGCCAAATGACAAACACAAATAGTCATTATAGAGAAGGCAAAAACAATTACATTTCTCAATATGATTTGATAAATACTTACATGTATTCTTGGAAGGCATGTAAGTCATCCAATTGAGTACCATAGATGAGCTATGCCAACTGAGAGTGTGCCAAGGAAACAGTGAAGAACATAATGGCAAAGCTAAGGAGGTCTTAGGCACATCATGACATGGTTATGAGAGCTGGCTCGTGGTCTTGTTAGAACATGAACTTGAAGAGCTTCAAAAAAGAGGGAAAATATTAGAAGATGAATGGACAATACAGTGTGGTCTAAACACACACTTGAATATAATTCCACAACAGACACAGATGTGATTTTAAAAACTTCATGGCAAGTGACATACACACATCACAAAGAGTCAAGTGTTGTATGATTTTAGATGCAGCATTTAAATTTACTCAATTCGCAGGAGGCTGGCACAAGGAGAGGATGAGAAGCTGTGGCTATCATGTATGATTTCGTTAGGATTATGGGAAAGCATGGTGATGAAGTGGTGATGGTTGAACACCACGATGAAAAGTACTTAATGTCACTGAGTGGGTTAAAACACAGACACTGTAAGTTTTGTTATGCATATTTACCATAATAACAGAAGAGTTACAAGCTTGTTTCCCTTCCTCAACCCACCAGCATCTATCTTCTTGCTCAAACAGTATTTTTTGAGTGCCTACCTTGTGCAAGGAACTGTTGCCACAATTCTTGGTTCTCTGTGAAGTTCCTTCCCTCTGGCTCCTTTCCTGAGAAGGGCTGCCCCTTCTACATTTCCTGGTATAGTATCTATTTCTTTCCAAACTTCACATTTTCTTTTTCTACATCCCTTCCTTTTCCTCACTTGCTTCCTCCCATGAGGTGAAATTCACATTTCCTTGTTAGTCTAGGGCTCCAGGCCAGAGAACATACCAATGGCCTCTTACTGCATGTGTGTTAAACAAAATGTGTAGGGTTATAGTCAACAAGAATCCTAATAACAGAAGCTAATTCTTTCACAGTGACAGCAATGATCACAGCATACCTGATGTAAAATACGGAGCAGCTTTGCATTGCCACATTTGAGTGACTTGAAAAGAGTATTGAAGTATGGATGATATGTTACCTTAATCCAGAAAGAAAAAAAATATAGTGATAGAAACTATATTGTATAAGTGCACTCCTAGTATGCCAGATGCTCAAAGATGGGCAAAAACTTCAATTTTCCTAAAAAAAAAAAAAAAAACCTCCATCTTCAATGTTACCATATAGTTACTACTGTAAGTAGAAAAATAAAAACATGAAATTTATTGCAATATAAAACTAATAGGACTTATTTTTCTCTGCCAATGTATGAACTCCATGGTTGACCATGATACTTATCCAATGGGATTTATGAATGTTTGTCACTCATAGGAAAGTACTAAGCAGTCAGGTAAAGAAATCCCCTGGATGTGTGCAAGGGTGTGTGCACACATGTATACATGTGTGCAAGTGTACCCACATTGACATCCATGGGAGGTGACTCTATAACAAAAATAAGTTCAAAAGGAAAAGTTTGCTGTTTCTGTCACCTTCTTTTAGATCAATTTCTACCTATTTCCTTTCTTTTTAAAGTTTAACTGTATTTTGTGTGTAAGAGTGTTTTGTCTGAACATGTCTGTGTGCAATAAGCATCACTGGCCAGAGGTTAGCAGAGGTATCAGATCCCCTAGAACTGGAGTTACAGATGGTTGTAAGGTGCCATGTGGTACTGGGAATTGAACCTGGGTCCTCTCGAAGAGCAGCAAGTGCTCTTAATCACTGAGTTATCACTCCAGCCACTTTTATTTGCTAAGTATCATCTTTATTTCTGATTTTTTTTTAAAAACCTTGCTTTTCTTCATTTTCTGACCTTCACACATCTGTTCTTCCAGAATCCATGTAAGCTCTAACAGTGGCCATCAAGACAGGAACTGTGGTAAATGAGAATTCCTCTCTTCTGTCAAATCTTCCATTCTTTACTAGTTAACTTGTGGTGTTATTTTCAGCCATTACCTTGTGACAGCCTTAGCATGAATTCAAAAAAGAAGAAAGTGACCTATGCACCCTGAGACACCTCTTTAGGGAACATTGTGGCTTAGAATCTGCCAACCACATCCAGAAACCGAGAAACTGTGAAGCCATGGAGGAACTGCCTTGATTATGCTCATCCTTAAAATCTTGGAAGTCAGAGACACACTTAAGACATTCTATTGACTTTTAATTGTCACTTACCTGCATATCATTCTCCTGATTTTCACAGGAATCATTAGAAAAAAACTTGACAGTAATTGCAATGCACTTTTGATTCACCTTAATAGTTCTGACTGGCCATTAAAGCAGAACTGAGTTTAATGTGAAAAATTATGACAAAGCATACATAATTATAAGACTATATTGAGTGTTAATATATGTGTAGGTAATTCATATGAATGATGCTTGAGTGCTGCAACATGATACCCAGTATGAACTGTTAATATTCCTTGCTTTCCTTGACATTCTGGTCTCTTGTAGAAGCACTGTTTGTCTAAGGTATATAGTTTATTGTGTTTACTGTCCATCATCCACCTTAAAGCAAGCTGTGTAGGCAAGGGACTGTTTCCCACTGATATGTCCTGTACCAATACTTTATGTCTGAGAAATACAGGATAAAATGCATTAGCAAACAAGAGTTCCCAGAGAAGCTAGTGAAGTTTGTTTCCTCATTGTTTCCCAGAGTAGTCAGGGCAGCATTATCAAAGTTTATGAAAGAACTTTGTGTCTTGGAGATTCTTAAGAATAAGCAAGCAATTGGGGACCCATCAAGCCCTTCTATTCTCTGTGTTGTGAAAGTGTGGCTGCCAATTGTGAATAGAAAAAAAGAGGGGAAGGAGACATGGAAAAAGTGGAGAAACAGTGGTGAATGTACTGATTACACCAGTAATGGCTAAAGGTGGTTGCTGGGAGGAAAGTGCTTTTTCTAGAACGGGGATGAACCTAGATGGGAATTAAGGTTCTTTTGAACATCTGTATGTTCATGTGTGTGGGTGCATGCAGAAGCTACATGGATGTCATTCCTCAGGAGCTATCCATCTTACTGAGACAGGGTCTCAGTAGAACCCGAGGCTGGCTAAGTAGGCTAAGGAGGCTGGCCAGACTTCCTGCTGTGTCTACCCCCCCCCCCAAAAAAAACCACACTCTCTCCAGTGCTAGGATTAAAAGTGTGTGCTACCATTCCTGTCTGCTTATGTGGGTTTGGGGGCTTAAACCTGGGTCAACATGCTTCCTCAGTATACACTTTACAGGCTGAACTACCTATCGAACCACTCCTCTATTTAAAATTTTTTTATTTTGTTTTGTTTGTTTGACTGCAACAGTGTCTCATGTAGACTGGGCTGGCCTTCACTATGCTGAAGTCTGAGGATTACATTGTACTTCTCAACTCCTGACTTTACTTACCAATGACAGTATTATAGGCAGAGACCACCATGACCCGTTGAAGTAGTCCTGAGGATCAGGCCAGGTTTTGTGCCTCGTTTATGCATGCTTTGTGCATGCTAGGCAAACATTCTAACAACTGAGTTACATCTCCAGCAACCTGGACCCAAAGTCCTCTATAAAACAAGTATTCTTCTATCCACTTGCCAAATACTCTTATCCCATCAATCCTGCAACTTCAACTCTCACTTTGTTGTCAGTCTGGATGCTTAATATCTTTTGTCTATGCAGTGGCAGGAAAGGTGTTTTTCCCTAGACCATATTCAGAACAGACATGTCTAGACAACTAGCTAGAAATAGGAAGGCTGTAAGCCTGCAATACATACCTGCCCACACAGAACAGGTTGATGTTGGTGTTGTACAGTGAAAAGTCACTAAAAGTTGACTAGGTTCTTTTTGATACAGCCAGATGTTTTTCTGAAGCCAACAATGTGGGCGGCTGTTTCCTCCCTGGTTCTTGACAAATCCAGGTAAGAGTCTGTTCCACTGCAGCTACTCTCCAGTGGTGACTCTTGCTCTCTTCTTCTACTCTCTACAAGATTTCACTTGTGTACATCCAACTAATTTAAAAGGACGAACAAACAAACAAAAACCCAAAAAGCAAAAATAGGCAATAGAAACAGGTAACACCATCAGAACACTTGTGTCTTGTGTCAATTATAGACACCATTTCCTGGTAAAATAAGTTTTTTAATATTAATTTTTTTCACTCTGGGTAAATACATATGACATGGTGATTCTTATTGATTCTTCAGAGTTACTGGCCTTCAAAAATGAAGGTCCTATGGTTTAGTAATGTCAATTTAGTCCCTAAAAGTATGAGGATCCCACACCAGGGATATCTGTCCACAGAGCCTGTGTCATCAAATCCCAGTTTCCATGGCTACTTTCCCTGGTCTAGATGACACAATGCTTCCAAGGAAAATTAGAGAGAACAGGGAAAAGTACCCCGTTTTCTGCCTTTGTGTTTCCATATGAACTATAGTGGTACTTACCTTAGAGGCATTCTATGAGGAAAAGGAGATCATCTATCTTTGAACAGGGTCTGGCACACAGTAGGAGCTGTACAAATTTCTCTTATCAATGATGTGAGATGAAGTAGCACACTGGAAAAGCCACGCAGACAGAGGTTGTGCTTCTGCTCTCTAGGAACTAGGAAAAGGTGTGTCAGAGGACTCAACACCATGTTAACATAGAAGAAACAGCTTTTGAGAACATTTACTACCTTTTCTCTAAAACTGACTTTTACTACATTTCTGTCTAAGCAATGCTAAATAGAGTATATACTGGGTAGTTGACATAATCTGGTCAACAAAAAAATGACTATTATAATGTAATTCAGACATAGTTTCCATAAAATGATGTAGATAACCTTACAGAAATCAGGACACAAGGTTAAAAAAGAGGACTTTGGCCACGATTGCTCAGGGCAGATATAGTAAGTGGTACCAGAAGGCCCACATTGAAACAGCCTGAGTGGTCTAAATTTCTTTAGATTGTCTTCAGTAATTCTAAGAACAAGTACCTTTATCTAATGCACAAGGTATTTAAAGTGTGATATCCAAATGGACAAGCCCCCTGCAGATACGCCCATGTACAAATATAAACAGTATCGTTAACATAAACTAGAGCAGCATAGATTTTATACCAGACCAAAAAAAAAAAAAAAGTCCTCACCAGCTCACACTTGAAGTGACTTTAATAGAAACATGTTATAGAGAGAAGGTGGCAGATGAGAGCTACCCAGTGCAGTCCTAGGGAATGGACAATCAGGGTTGGAATCTCTGCAAGCGGACACAGAAGACAATGACATGACATATGAAGCTACCAAAGTATAGCTGAGGCTTCAGCTGAGGTCCCAGAACTTGGACATGCCAGGAATGTGGAACATATGTTAAGAAAAGCTGTGGACAATGAGCATAGTCCACAAGGAAGGCCGCATGGGCTTTAAAGGACAATACTATGAAGAAGGAATGCTGTGACCTCCTCCAAGGGTCTACAATCTCACTACCAGTTTGCACCATACTCCGGACAGGGAGCTACAGTATTTAATGTCTGTCCTCCTGAGTTCTGGTCTTGCTCTGGTCCAGTTGTTTTTGTTATTCTTCTACTATTCTCTTTTATAACGGGATTATTTACTCTGTGCCATTATATCATGGAAGAATGCAACACATTTTCGAGTTCTACAGAGGTAAACCTTTGCTTTGAGTTTGAGGCTTTGGATTTTTGAACAATACATAAACCAGCACACTTGATAACAATGTATTTTGCATTATGAGATGCACAAGAGTGTTTTGAGGGCCAGAGGTGGAATGCTACCATTGGCTTATCAAAGGACTCATATACTTGGTCGCACATTTTATGCAGCGTTCAGAAGAACTTTGGGAATGTTATTTGATCATGTGGTCTCCTTGCCTTTATCAACAGATTATTCTGAGAAAGCAGGCTTCAAGCCAAAATTATTCAGACGAGATTAAGGTTAGTCAACAGAAATAAAGGTACCAACCCTTTCAAGAAGATTTAGTGGTACTATGCTAGGTTCTTTAATAACTAGGGAAAGGACAGAGTGGAATTTACAACTGCACATTTTGAAAGATCTGCCAGGTACTCGTTTGGGAACTGGGGATATATTCCATCATCTTAGGCAAAAACACACTAAATGAATACAGAACAATCTGTCATTTTTATGACTTACATCATAGGAAAGTCTCAATCAATATTTGCTAAATCATTAAATGGAGCGAATAATAAAGTAGAATAAAGGAGAATGGCTACCACAAACACAAAATTCCTTTCCCTCATTCCTTAGCTATGTGGCAATATATAGTCAAACATCCTGCATCTAATTTGCATGACTCATGATCATATTGATGCTTACCTTGTAAGTTTGTTATGGAGGAAATGAATCTCTGAAAGACCTAACTAGTTGCAAGGCACCTACAAGATTTTCTATAACTGGTACTAAATCACTCTATGAAGGTAGAACAGTAACTTCAACAACTCACCATAGCCTACTTCTTATATACTAGTAAATGCACAGCAGGCCCTAAAAAAAATAGAAATGATACCTAAATTATTCTTAATCTTGTACACTGAATTTGCAACACCAAATGAACAATATTCAGGGGAAATGAGTGTTTTCAAAGTCATTTTCCAATACCTCTAAAAGTCTTCCATTGAAGAAAAGAGGGTTTTTCCCCTACAAAGATATAATTTTAAGTGATATTAAAATACAATAATATTTGATATATTACAAAAATTATTGTAAAACATGTTGAGTCAATTATACACTATATTTCTTACATAACTATATATAAACACTTCCTTTGCTTTACATGTTGTTTTTCTCAAATAATGAGATAACTATATATAAACACTTCCTTTGCTTTACATGTTGTTTTTCTCAAATAATGAGTGGTGACATAAATTCAAAGCATGATTATAACACATGGTATACAATTTCTATTTGTCTAATGTTCTCATACAAATTTCAACTTAATATTTAAGGTATTAATTTTTATTGATGAAAATACTACATTCACATATTTCTTAAGACCACAGCTAAAAGACCCTTAGAAAAACACCACACTTACATGAAATACTGATAATTTACGTACCATTTCTTTTCCGTTTTCTTGGTTTTTCTGAGACAGGGTTTCTCTGCATAACATTTCTGTTGTCCTGGAACTCATAGAGATCCATCTGCCTCTGTCTCCCAGTGCTGGGATTTCTGGCTTAATGTATATACTGTTTCTACACAGCATTCATACTATGCATAATCTTCGTGTCATCCACTGTAACTGTGGATACACTAGTGTTTAAGTTACAATTTTTAATACTTAAAACATAAAAATTACTATTCTTGCTGATCAGTGAATGTATAAACAAACATAAAACCATAAGGAATGGATTATTAATACACATTAAACAAACTTACATATAAGAGAACCCATACACAAAAGCCACAGTATCTCAGGATTCCATTTATGTTATGCCCCAAATCAGCAAACCCACGGGCAGAAAGTATGTCAGCAGTTCCCAGGGGCTGAGGAAGAATAACTTAAAAGTGGTCACTGATACACTGGGGCTTCTGCTGCAGATGAGAGAAATCTTCTGAGACTAGACAGTCTTGATGATTTCACATGTGATGAATTTGCTAAAGGTCACCAAACTGTGTACTCTAAAAGGGGGAATAAAGCTCAACTTTAAGTTAAAAAAGTAATGTTCCAGTAAAGATCACAGTATCCATGACTGAGTAGGAATGTAAGAAGTAAGTTCTTTAAGACAAAGATGTCACATTAGGAGAAATTAAAACATTTTAGTTTTATTTATTTAGGGTGTGTGTAGGTCAGAGAACAGGCTGTGTGAACCAGAGTTCTCTCTCTCTATCATGGAGGCACCAGGGATCCAAATCAGTCTTTAGGCTTGGGGGCAAGTACCTTAACCCACTGAGTGATGTCGCAGGCTTAGTAAGGGAAACTGTGATGACATATTTAAGAACACATTGAAGGAAAACACTGCTGTTCTGGTTTACACACAAACTCAAATTACAATTTTTACAAGAAGCTAAAATTATCAGGTAACAATGTTTTCACTTATATTTTACACACAAATGCAGCCTTCCCTACACCAAGGCATTCAGCCTAGGAACTAACCTTTCTAAGGGTGATCCAAGACTCAGCTGGTGAAAATTTCATAGATGCTGTTTCTGGGTGGTGTTATTTCAAGAAAAAAATGTACGCACAGGGATCTTGCTGCAAGAAACTGCCCGGAGGTGAAAATAATGTTCTGAAAACCAGTGACTTTGCAATGTCTCAAGAGGATGGTGATGCATATTCATCTTCTGACGTAAGCAGATTCTCGTTAAGATGGACAGCACCAGAAGCTCATAATTAAGTTTTGAGAGTGACACAGAGCTCTGTGCATCTTTGGCCGGGAAACCTTCAGCTTGGGGGCCTGCCCACACTCTTGGCTCAAAGTCTTCATTATCTGTGCTTATCTGAGGACTTATGATGCTTCTTCTCTTCCTTATCTCCAGAACTGTCCCATTTCTCTTTCTTTTCTATCTTTTCTTTATCATGTCCAGACTCCTTTTTCCCACTGGATATTTTATCCATCTTTTCAGGTTTAAATGAATCACCTTTTTCTTTGCCTGAGGATTTTGACTTATTTTTTTCCTTGTCTTTCTCATTTGGATAAGGAGACTCGCAGGGGCTTTCACTTTTGTGCTTTGAAATCCCCAATATTCCATTTTCATCTTTCCGCCTTTTGACTAAGTCTAAGGGCACTTCCCGGTCATTGTTTGAATAATCCCTTTTCCGCTCTTTCCGGTCCTTTTCGTCTTTTTTCTCTCTTTCTCTGGATCTTTCCCTTGCTTTGTCCAAATCTTTCTTGTCCATTTCTCTCTCCTTACTCTTGCACAATGGTGGTGGGACATGGTTGATGTAGAGCTTTGCTGAAGACTCCTTGAGTTTGACCAGACTGTCCTTTATTGTGGAAGAATGTGATGGAGAAGGGTGGGAATCAACCTTGCGACGTTTTTCTCGTTCAGGCTCTAAATTATCTGTTCGGGAAACAGGTGATTTCAAGGCCCCAGAAACTGGTGCTTTTTCTCCTCCTTTAACATTTTCTTTTGATTTTATTTCCTTTACTAAGTCTCTTTCTTTTGATGGCTCTTTCTCTTTTTCTCTTTCTTGGGAGGATTTTGATTCTATGTTGGGGACGATGATCCTGAATTTCTCATCTTTAGCTTTCTCCTCCTTCTTTAATTTTTCCTTATCTTTGTCAGATTTAGGCATTCTTTCCTTGGTCTCTCTTATCTTTTCATCTTTATTTGGCAGCTCTTCCTTGGGTTTTTCTTTATTGTCTTTACCAAGTACCCTAGTCTCTGGAGTAACACCTGGGGTCTTTTCTTTTTTCTCTTTTTCTTTCTCTTTCCCCTTCTCTTTGTCGTTTTCCTTCACAGCTTTGGTGTTGGAGGCACTATTTCCATTGTTTGAATTCCCTTTTGGTGTGGTGCTAGAAACTTTATTAAGAGCTTTCACACCACACTGAGTCCTTTCCCGGGACTTGTCAGTCTCCTCGGTACTGCTCTCATCTGACTTAGATGTACTTCCTATGGACAACGGCAACCCACTACAAGGCCCATTTTGTATACTTGCAGCAGCATTTCTCGGAGGAGGATCTTTGTGATGAAATTCATTTTCAGGAATCATGTGTGACTTTCTACTTTTCAGCTGTCCAGAGTAAACCATGGCTAGTGCATACAGATCTGGCTTCTTTTCTTTCTCTTCTTGGCAGATTTTATGCACTCTTCTTTCCAAAGCTTGACCCAGATTTAAAACTTTGGGGTACCATGGCAGTATTTTTGTTAGCACAATCAAGATATTCCTGATATGAGTGTATTCACCAGTTTCAAGGCAATGTACTGATGCCTTGGTTAGTTTATAATGCCATTTATGTACAACATGTCGAAAATTCTCATAATCTAACTGATCAGCTTTATTTCCACCATCAAATCCAGTTGCTCGTAGGATAGTAAGAAAACCTGGATAGTTTCCACATTCCTTCTCATAGGTGGATCTGTCGCTATGCCACCTAGTCACAGTCTCTAACATGCAGCAAAGAAATCTCCCATATCGACTAGCTTCATTTTCAGTAAAGCTGGCAACCATGTAAATTATGTCAGAGAAAACTCGGTCATAGCAGAGAAGTGTGGAGAAATTTGGAGTCTTCTGCTGATGAACCAACTCAACAAAATGAGCACAGTAAACAGAATCAATTGCTGAAAAAATACATCGAGGAAATATACACAACTGGAGAAACTTTGTGATGGTCTCATTTTTAGTAGATTTTGCTAAGAGCCAGTTGTCCTTTTCCAGTTTCAGTCTCTGCAGAACTCGCTGTACATGCTCCATCTGTTTCTTTTCTTCTTCAAGAAGCTTGTCCTGAAGGGCAGTACAGCGTTCTTTCTCTTTTTTCTTTTTATTCAGAGGCATTTCTTGATTGTCATCAATTGCTTTCATCTGGATCTTAAGTTTATTGACCTCTCGTTCATAGCTGGTATGTGGAACTGCAAGGTCATACATTGTCAGAGACCAGAATGTGGTATAGAACTGAGGACTGATATCTTCCCAGACTTTGGAAATGTGCAAGGAGATCACTGCTTCATGGACAGGAGCCATCACCATCTCACATGCTGTAATGTACTTATGAACTTTATGCTGCTGCTTACTACCCTTTTCTGATTTCTTAAGTTCATCGTACTTTGATGAAATATGGTGTGCATACATTGGCCGAGACAGAAAAAAGGCTGCATCATGGGGCGTATGAAATTCATTACACAGCACATCAATCGAAGGCACTCTCTTTATGTAATCATCTGTGCTTAAATTTGATGCTAAAAACCCACCAAACTGTACCAAAGTATCATGACACTGGTCATACAACTTTCCTACAAGTTTCAAATGTTTCTCTCCACCTTCCTGAAAGATCACCCCATTCCTCTGCTGAGCCATAAGCAGACAAAGAGGAAGGGCAAGATCATGGTCCAGTAGTGCATCCTTCAATCTCTGAGAGGATTTTTTAGTGTTTCTTATCTGGCCAAAATACCCACCCTCAGCTTTCAGTTGCTCCCCACCAGTCATAGCCTCTAGCTGCTCCGTTGTCATTTCCTCTGTAACTTCTATTCCTGCCATTTTTTGTACCACTTCTTTCAATATAAGCAGGTCAAAACTTTTGCCCGCCTTTAATTGATTGGCTACATACTGAAGAAGACCAGCAAGGTCAATTGGGTATTTACGAAAAACTGCACCACAGAAACTAGCCAGACTCTGAAGCCAGCTTGAGATGGTTGTGTCATCATGTTTCATTCTTTCTTTTTCTGGATTAGCTAAAGCTTCAATGATACAATAGGCCAAAACATCATAATTCAACGCAGTGAGATATTTCAATGAGTCTACCACAGGTGTTATTAAGTTATCGTACTTCTGTATTTGTGATAAGACGTAATCAAACAAAATGGTTGGATTGCTGTGGCTCAGTTTTCCAATCTGCCTTCCTGAAGGCTTCACATTTTCCTTGGTTAGACGCTTCATAATGTACTTGGCTCTGTCTACTGTATGGGCTTTAACTTTTACTAAAAGTGGGTGGCTGTGGTAAGTCTCATTCTTCCACTGGCCATATAAGCGGTATCTATGCTGATAAGGAAATGTTTTAAACATTCCCCATAGTTCCTCTGACATACATGCATTGCAATCCATCAAAGAAAGAGACGGAAGGAGTACCTGGTCAGTAATGCTAAGCAAACAACTAAAGATAACTTCCATCTTCTCTTTATTTTCTTGTTTCCCATCAGACTGAAATTCCTTCATAAATGACTTGCCTATGCGCACAACCTTTGCAAATAAGATGGGATCATGAGAAAGGTAAGGACCAAGATAACAGAACATACTGAATACATCTCTCCTTAAGTCTTCAAAGCTCTCCACTGGCTTCGGCGACTTCTTGTTTTGTAGAGCATTGACAGGTGAGCCTTTAGCACCTTTCGGAACACCAACTCTTCGGTAAAGAGGCTCAATAGTTATATGTATAAGATTGCATATAGCAAGGGCTATTACTTTATGTGATGCTGCATAGTACGGAGGCATCCGATCCATAATACTCTGTGCATGCTGCCAATCACCAATAACTAACAAGGCTTCCAACAAACCAAGTTTTTGATTGTCAGGTACCTTCTCTACTTTGTCATCTTTTTTCTTTTCTTTCTCTCGTTCATCACTTTTGTCAGAAGGCAATACAACCATTGTAAGTTTCCTAACAATGTGTTTAGCTTCCACAATTTCTCGTTTGTATTCATTCACAATACAAGTATCAGCTGGAAGAAGGTGTACATAAAGACCATCCAAATCAATAAGGTTAAACTGTAGAAGTACTGCTGCAACTGTGTACAAGGATGATGGAGTCTCACCATTTGGTTCCTGGTAAAACTTGAATTTGAAACCAAGAATATGACACAGTGTTTGTGGTTCACACATACCCATGTAAGCTTCTAATAAAGATATAAAGAAATCATGGTGTTCTGGCCTGCACTCAAACACTTCTAAGATGATATCCAAAACTCGATTGGGATCCAGATTGAAGCATCCTATTAAAGATTTGAGAATTTCTAAGATTAAATCACTAGTAATATTTCCAGATAAATCTTGCCCCAATTCAACAATCAGCTTGGCATAACCTTCATTTTCTTCTCTTAACAAATTGAACTTCTGCTGTTTATAAAAGAGTTTCGTCTTGATTTTGACTGACTTTTGATTGAACTGCTGTGATTGTTTTATAAGGCCTAATGACTCCAATGTTTCCGGATCCAAGCGTTCCTTTAGAACTGTGTCTGAAACTAAATACAAACATGCTAATACCAATTGTGTAAAATGATCTCTCTTGCTTTTTTCTTCTAAACAGTTCGTCTCAATATCTAGTATGCAGAATATATCGGCAAGAATAAGTGGAATATCTTCTCGAAATTCACTGATGTCACTAAGAACATTTGATGCCTGTTCAGGCTTTAAAGTTCCTCTAATGACATGGTATGACAACTCATAGAGAGCTTGTTGGAAATCTCTACAAGCCAAAGTGTCGCGGCTTTTACTTTCACTGAGAATCCGGCATAAACGCAAAAACTCGCCTCTCCCGGATTTCTCCCAGTTCTTGATCCACTCGGCGGGAACCACCACAGCGCCCGAGGCCATTGCCATCTTTTCTTCCCTAGTAACAGAGCCCCGGATGTGCAGCATGCACTTGCGCAGTAGCACCGGTGCTTGCTGGAGGTCAAAGGAGAGCCCCGCCCACAGCGAGTGCTGGGAGCTAAGCGTTCTGGAGAAAAGGATTTTAGGGTCGAGTTTTTTTTCTGCTTCAGGAACTGGAGCTGGGAGGGCTGGTTACGCAGTGCCACAGTCTGCTGTCTGGGTGTCTTTGTGCCTGCTGGCACTCACACTGCAGGTCACTGCAACAAAGAAAAAAGCAAAACAGGATTGCAAAGGTGTGGCTCACACGTTCCCTAAGCCACATGCCTCGATCCCAGAGCTGTTATTAGTGAAGGACCGAGTATGCACCCAGGTCTTCTCTCAGACTTTGTTTCCCCATTCTTTTTCTAGGTATTACGATCTCATTAACTTACTCATATCGGCTTATATGAAACAGTGACTCCAACAGGCTAGTCAGCAGACCCTGAAGCTGCCTTCAGAACCCCATACAAAGCCTTGACATATCCTCATGCTGAACCCAGCTGTGCTTGACCTGCTTTCTCTCCCGACAGATAAAAAAGGATCCTTTCGGTTCCCCTAGGTGGATTCTCCAATCCTCTTTGATGAATACCAGGATCCTTTCATTTCTGTGGGTGAGGGGAGGTTGAAGTTGAGTTTCCCCCCTTCTACAGTTCATTCCACTATGTTTCTAGTGTTGCCATTCTCTGCTGCTACACCACGCCACTCTCTCTGCTACCGCCAAACCTGGAGGTGGTAATTCCCCCAGTGCCGCTCCTTCCCTGCTGGTTCCCTGAACTCAACCACATCTCTACATAGAGTATCTTCTTTCAGCTTGCTCTAATTACCACTCTGACCACGCCACTCTCTCTGCTACCGCCAAACCTGGAGGTGGTAATTCCCCCCAGTGCCGCTCCTTCCCTGCTGGTTCCCTTAACTCAACCACATCTCTACATAGAGCATCTTCTTTCAGCTTGCTCTAATTACCACTCTAGTTCATCATCTTTTTCCTTCTGGCGGCTGACTAACACTATTTGCCTCCCATCTGCTAATCAAATCCTGGGTGGAAACCTCTAACCTAACTCACAAAAACTCTTCAGTTCACACTGAGTGAGCCAAGGAGGGGGCAGGAAGATAATATGAAGACGCAGGTTTGGCACATGGTCACATACTTAAGTCTTGTATGAACCTATGTGAACTTCAGTTTGCTCTTCGGTAAGAGAACAATTATCTACTCCATAGGATTTTGGTACTGGAATAAAATGAATTACAATTTATCCAGTACAGTCACTGTTCCCACTTTTGAGACAGGAACCATACACAAAGATAACTAGAGCTAATCTGTCCCTCCACAACAGCTCATAGTAGCCCCAGGTATCTGCCCACCCAGCTCCCAAAGAAGAATGGACACTGGCAATGCATCCTTTGCAGAAACCCTTTGTAGATGGAGAACAGCAGTTCTCAACCTGTGGATCACACAGCAGATAACCTATCAGATAAGCATTATCATATGTTTACATTATGATTCATAACAGTAACAAAATACAGTTATGAAGTAGCAATGAAATAATTGTATGGCTGAGGGTCACCACAACATGAGGAATTGTAATAGAAGGTCACAACATTAGAAAGGTTGAGAACCACTGCTCTAGAGTCAATAGAAAGGTGAAGAGGACTTGAAGGAGTAAGATCCCACGAAACCTCAATGACAACTAATTGATTAAGACTACTTTCAATTAATGTGAAATTATAATGGATGAAGTATTACAAATCAAACTAGGGTTTCCTGTGAATTTATTGCTAAAAAATGGTTTTTAAAATAAAGTTTTTTTCTAAAAAAAAAAAAAAAAACTAAATTTCATAGGTATGAGCAAATACACAAGTGTAAGCATTTTAGGCAGTAATTTTAAAATGTTTTATTTTATATTATATGCTTTAGACTGGCATCTGTTGCTGAAATTATGAGGGTCTACAGGACGTTCACAGCTGTCAGAGGGAAGGACAGATGTGCTTGGTATGCAACACTCTCTCAGCTAGACCACTATTCTAGAGCAGATAGTGGCTCTATGAGCACTGGATTTGCATCAAACAATTTACATGCCAGCTGTGTTCCATCTTGAACATCTATCTGCCTCTGGGCTCCTAACAGCTGTTAGGACTCCTGGGGTTAACTTTTTGCTATCTAGAAAATGAAAACAAGATCAGGAGCTTTTCTGAAGTCTAAACACAGAAATGTATGTGAATTTATTTGCATAGTGTCAATTGCAATGGAAAGCATCAGTTCACTTCTTTAATTCTAGATGGAAAACTCCCACACTCTCTAAGTTGAATGCACTTCATGAGGAACAAAGTGAGAGCATGAAATAACTACATGAGGACCAAAACGAATATTAAAATGTCAGGTACCCAGACACATGCATCACATACTAAAATTAATTTTTTCTTTCTTTAACTCTTGTTTTAACACTTGAATTTTCATCTTTCTACAACAAAATCCAAAATAATATACACCAAAACACAGGTAACTACAAGCAGCCATGTGCCCACAGAGCAGCTCCCTTATGTAACTACTGTGTGGATCTGGACGGATGAGGAATGACAATGACTTCTGTCTGGTCAGGAGTCAGACACCTAAACCTCCTAGGCCACATGTAACCTTCCTTCTAAAATTCAGCTTTAGGAAAGAACTTGATGAAATTGTTTAAATAAGACCCTTAGAACCCATTCTTGGTATCTGATCACCACCACAGTAAGAGCAGATTCCTTATCTTCCACTATTTCCCAAGTGACACCTAATCACTCTGGGATGTGTTCAGTAAGGATTTTATATGTCAGTTTAGACCAAACCTTCCTTAGGCACTTTCCATTCACTGACTCCAACTCTAATTCTTAGTTATAAATCCCCTCTTGCCCATCCCAAACTTGGAGTTGAATCTATTCACCCTCTCTTGACTGCAGACCCCACTGACATGGCCCCTATGCAACTATCTTGAAAAACCCTATAATGCTTTCAAAAGATACATATACTTTAACAGAGGACTTAGGTCAAAAGGAAGGGAACATTTCATCTGGAAGCCTTCAGAGAATCATGAGATTGAAGAGGTTGTGGTAGTTTGAATGTAATTGCCCCCATAAGTTCGTAGGGAGTGGCACTAAAAGGAAGTGTGGCTTTATTGGAGTAGTTATGGCTTTGTTGGTGGAAGTGTGTTACTGTGGAGACAGGCTTTGAGGTTTCCTATGCTCAAGATACTGCCCAGTTGCTCAGTCTACTTCCCATTGTCTTCTGATCAATATATAACCAGCACCACATTTGCCTGCATGTCTCCCTGCTCCCCAACATAATGAATTAAACCTCTGAACTGTAAACTACTACCTTAATTAAATGTCTTCCTTTTTAAGAGTTGTCATGTCATGGTGTCTCTTCACAGCAACAGAAACCCCTGACTAAGAAAAAGTGTTTATAGGAGTTACCTAAAGAGGTAAAATCCAAAACTATAGAGTGAAATGTTCATCTGCTGCTTACAGATTTTAAATTTTATCTTGAAGGTGATGAGAGCATAGCATATCTAATGAGTGATCTGCATTAACTTAGAAGCAGTACCTGGAGATCCTGAACATTAGAAGGTGATGGTTTCCCATGTAAATTATGCTCCACAAGGCATTCCAAATAATCCTCTCAAAACTTGTCACTCTTATTTAAAATTCATCTTAAGTTATTTATTGTGTATGGGTGATTTATTTATTTATTTATTTATTTTTTCTGAGAGAGAGTTTCTCTGTATTGCTTTGGAGCCTGTCCTGGAACTCGCTCTGTAGACTAGGATGGCCTTGAACTCACAGAAATCCGCCTACCTCTGCCTCCCGAGTACTGTGATTAAAGGCGTGTGCCACCAACACCTGGCTGTGTATGGGCATTTGGGCTACATGTATATTTATGTATCTGTGTATGCATATGTGTATGTATATGCCATGTGTATGCTGTGCCTGCAGAGGAAAGAAAACTGCATCACAAACCCAGGGAACAGTTACAAATGGTTGTGAGCTGCCATGTGGGTGCTGGGAAATGAACCCAGGTCCTCTAGAAGAGTAGTTAGTGCTCTTAACTGTGAGCTGCCATGTGGGTGCTGGGAAATGAACCCAGGTCCTCTGGAAGAGTAGTTAGTGCTCTTAACCTCCAAGCCATCCCCTCAGCTCTGCTATTTAATTTGAAAATTATTTTATTATTTATTCACTCATTCATGTATATTCACATACTATATAATCACATATTCAATATATTTAATAAACATATACTTTTAATGTTGCTCCATTTTCCTTAATAGAAAAACATTTCTTCAAACACTAATAGACTAAACACGATTTTACAGTTGCAACAAGTTCTAAATCAGTCATCTCTACAAAGGTGAGGTTGTCAAGGTAAGCATGACAATCCATAAACTCCTTTAAAGACAAAAACTAGAAGGTAGAGAAATTGCATGTTTCAGAAGAACTCAGCTCATTGTGAAGGTGATGGGGAATCACTTAGGTAAAAGTCCTTGAAGCCTAGAGAAGCTGGGGGCATTGCTTATATCATCATAGGTCATAGGGGCTTCAGTCCTAACATCAACTGGACTTTGACTGGAAGCAGACCCAGGTAAGATTCTTTAGCTGAGTCCAGATGGCTGACACTTTTGATTTGGCCTCTAGCAACCTAAGTGGAAGCTAGACTAACTAAGTCTTGATCACAAAAATTAGAAAATAGTAGCTCCTTTCCACTACTGTAATGTGACCCTCATGTTTAGCCAAAGTCTGTCATAGTGTGGAACACCAGTGCTAAATGTGTGTCCTACCAAGTGACCTCAAACTTCGTGCCTCAGCTGCTCCAGCCTCCAAGGGACATTCCATTTGCCCCTTTCTACCTGGAAAATCTTGGATTCACTAGGATGATGAATTGCTTTCCACGCTCAATTCTTTTGCTCTATTCTTCAGTCTTATCAGAACCCTATCCTGGAGTTCATTAACCCTCTCTACCTTTATGGATGAAAGAGCCATACTAACTGTAGCTTTCATGACATTGCATTTATATAAGACAGTCCTAGGATTTCCCGAGAAGGCCCTTCAGTCCCTCCACCTCCCTCACTAATCTTGAAAACCTTTTTCTTATCCAAAGTAGGTCCAGTGGGTGGAGACCTGCAATAAACCTACAGCAGACAAAAACTGACAAGAGGCAAGGTTTATCCTGCACATACCCAGATGAAGAAACCTGAGCAGCTGGAGGTGTTTAGGGGTTTGTATACTGACTTGGCAAGTGAAAAGGGGTGTCTCTAAAGAAAACAGCCCATGGAATTCCTGGGTATAGTTTTGCTGGCAGCTCCCCCAAAGACATCTCACTTTTCAGAAAGGGCTTCTGAAAGTTTTATAATCATTCAGTTCACATTGTTATGATATGTTACCCCATTTCTGGTAAATTCTCTTCTGTTTCCATTATCTAATTTAGTATTGTTTGACCAGTATGTCCATTTATTTTTAAAAATTGAACACCTCTGAGATATTAAACTTTAATAGGTAGGGTTATCATGTAAAGATATTTTTCTTCTGCTGACTCTGGTTTTTTAAGATAAGTTTGTTATTTAAGGTCAACTGGAATTTGCTTTTTTGGGTAGACCTAATTAGAATGTAAATACTGAACTTGAGATAAGAAAAAAAGGGGGTTGAGGGGACAAAAGAGGCCATTTAAAAAACATGATGCTAAAGGAACTTATCTGAAAAAATAGAGATTAAAAAAAT